CGGCTTCGTCGAGAGTTGTTGGAGGTGAAGAATCGTGAGCATACTTATGCGCGTCGCGATCTTGCCTTGTTGAATCTCCAGGATCGCGCAAAAGAGCAGGTCGAGGGGGATTCTGCCCCTGGTACGGACCTTCTATCAACCGGACCATCGCTACCCGGACAGTCGACTGACTTGGGCTGGTTACAGGCTGATTCTTCTTTCGATCCTTCTTTTGACTACTTTCTTTCCCTTGAGGACTCGGTCCCTTCTTCTCTGGATGTTTCCGGTGGTATTCACGTACCAGTGACTTGCAGTTCGTCAAATTTTCTTCTGGTTCCCAAGTGTTATAGCTCTCCGGCCATCCTTGCCATTTGACCAAGTATTTCCACTGACGTCCAATTTTCTTTAGGTCCTTGACTTCTTCGACGTTATACTCATCGTTCTTAAGTTCTACGTTTTCTGCTAGTTCGGCGTCTGGTGGTGCTGGTTCCAAAAGTTTTACGTGGAATATGGGGTGAACCTTCATGCCTGGTAGTAGCCGTAGTTTGTAGTTTACCGGTCCTACCTTCTCTAGGATTTCGAACGGTCCTATTCGGAGATTGTCCAGTTTTTTGCTTAGTCGTTTAGTTTTCAAGTTCTGTCTTAACAGGAAAACTTTATCCCCCTCTTTAAAGGTTGGTCCCTCAATCCTTTGCTTATTCGCGGCATTGGATGACGTGAGGTTCCTCTGAGCTATGTTCTTGCTCAGTTGCTCGTGCAGCTCTCTCAAGAGTTGCGCCTTATCATCGGCTCCTACCGCAATACTCTCGATATCTTTTGGGTCTCGATAGGCGGTTGGCTCGTAGCCGTAATTCGCATAGTAAGGCGAGTGCTTTGTCGTTGCGGATCTCGAGCTGTTGTAGGCTAGCTGCGCTGTCGGCAATAGCTCTACCTAGTTATCCTGTAACTTGTTCACATACATTCGGAGATACTGCTCCAATGTTTGATTCGTACGTTCTGTCTGGCCGTCCGTTTCTAGGTGGAAGCTTGTCGAAAGCTTTCGCTGGACGCCTAGCTTTGCTAAGAACGTGGTCCAATACAAGGACGTGAACAGCTTGTCTCTGTCCGTAATAAATTCTTCAGGTACTCCGTGTTCCAACACGAGTGCCTTGGTGACTTCGTACGCGCATTCTTCTGCCGTAATAGTCTCTTCTGTGGGTACGAATTTCACAGCCTTAGTCAATCGGTCGACGATTACTAGTATGCTGTCGCAAAATCGTGCTGATCCTGGTTCTAGCGATTTCGGGAGCTTCACTATGAAGTCCATTGTTACGCTGCTCCATGGTCTCGTTGGTGGCTGTAAGGGTTGTAACAGGCCATAGGGCTTATGTCTCTTAGGCTTGTTCTAGTGACATGCCAAACAGTTGCCTAGGACTTCCTGCACCTTCGCTCGCAAGCGTGGTATATCAAACGTCTTTTTCAGTCTCCTGACCATTTCGTCTATCGCTGCATGTCCGTATTCCGGGGACTCGTGCAGGGATTTGATGAGTTCTGTTCTCATATGAGGAGGCACGTATGTTCGTGTTCCTTCCCTCAAAGCCGTGAGTTCTCTCCCATCGTTTGTTACTTCTGGCGGGTATTCTGGTTCCTGTCGCCATTGGGTGGCTTTCTCTTGCCATTGTTGCTGAAGAGTCGTGACTTGGTGAGCTACCACGCTGACCTTGACTAGGTCGGGCTTGTTGTACCTCAAGCTCCCGTCAGGCATCTGTCTGAGT